CCCCCCCCCAACAAAGACGAAAAGGAGCTCGAGAGAAAAGCAAGAATTAGCAAGCTTACACTCCCATTTATGTATTTCTGCTTCTCAAGCGTGTCTCATCATCATGGCGTTCTGCAAGAACTGGATACCCCTCACCTTAGCTTTCGCTTCTCGTTCAGTACTTTATTCTCTTTCGTGTTGGTGCTGCTCTCCTTCGCTGTATATACATCGTCTTTCTTCCTCTGTTGTTTGTTATGCTTACTTACATACACCATTCGTCAAATATTAGTGATTTCATGGTAAGGGTCCTCTAGGTACCAGGATCAGGAAAACGTTGAGTGAATAAAAGCAGATTGAGTCAACATAGGTCTTTCTATTCAATGTGCCGGTACTTTGTTTTTGTTGTCTACATCAGAAGGGTATCCAGGTATATGTAATGATGAAAGCGATCGAAGAAAAGGGGAGTAATAGTACAGAACATCTGCCCAAGAACTACAAATGAGGTTGAGGCTGTTCCTCCGTTATCTCCGCAATCAGATCTCTGGAATCAGCCCAATCCCTGGAACCACACTGCTGAGTCCGAAAAAGACGAATGCATGTGGATGGCGACCGATTGCCCCCGCGCTCTCCCCCTCTCCGAAAATAATGACCGGGAGCCCGAGAGATCAAATGAAGCCAGAATTAGGAATATCAGACATCATCGTAAGTATTATATACAGGCAGTGTGGTATCTCGATAGATCATGATTATAAAATAGCAGTCATGTGGTCAGTCAGTCGGCGTGTGCAATGTGGGAATCTCTTATCTCTTTCCATTCTCGCGTCTCAGGCTGGAACGAGCGGATGTGTGCTCGAGTATGTAGATATGACATAGAGTCCGGACTGGCACAGGTGGCGTGACCCGTAGCGGGGCGTTGGCTAGTAGTGTTGCACGGGTTCTCTCGGCGGGTGGGCGCGAGAAAGAGATGGGTTTTTGCGGATAGTGGGAGCTCGAGAACGCATGAGAGGATCCATTTTCATCAAGCCCTGAAAGACGGACTACGGCCTCCTGTCCATCAATCATACCGATCACGAAGGAATCTCGACTGGAGAACTAGTCCAAGGGCCCCTATGTGCTCCATGATGGAGAACAAAAGAAAGGCTCATCATCCTTGTAGCTCGTACATCTGGCTCCCCTCTTGAACGGTCTGCTTGTTCGCCGGGGCAGGCAGCTCGTACAGTGGCGATCCGGCTACCTCGCTCGTCTCCTGCGTAGGAGTCGGGGCCTTCTGCCTTGTCTTCCGTCGCCGGCGGAGGAAGAAGAAGCCAAGCACCCCGATCACGGCGGCGGCACCGACACCTACGCCAACACCCACTCCGATGCCGACACTATTTGAGTTGGAACCGCCACCGTGGGAGGAAGCGGTCGAGGTGGTTTGTGTCGACCCAGTCGAAGTCGCAGTGGTTGATGAGGTGGTGGTGGTGGTCGTCGTCGCAGCACCCTTTTCGCGAACATAGAAGTAATCACTCCAGCTGATCCAGCCGTATAGGTCGACCCCGTAGGTGCCTAATTTGGCGGTGGCGTTGAACAAACCGATCTGATATTGGGGGTTGGTTGTGTTGAAATCGCTGGGGATAGCCCAGGTGTATTGTTCCATTGTGCAGTTGGCGGTATCATTGATGACGAGTTGATAGAGAGAGCTTCTTGTTGTGAACTGCGCACCCACTGGGTCATACATCCAAACATGAAGAAAGTCAGCTCATATTTGCACTCTCGGCAAGACAAGCAGACTCTGAGTAAGAGAATCGAGGAAACGCACCAGTGATCTCGTCAATAAGAGTACCTCCCGCGCGGCCCAGGGAGATGTTGAGTGGAGTGTCTCCATTGTCGATCGCACCCCATCGGAGCTGAAGGGTGTCGCCAGGATTGACCTCTGTGTTCGCGAGACCATAGAATGTTCCAGGGACACAATCGGTATACCCTTGGGTTGACATGATCAAAGCAGGGGAAGGCAAAATGGGCTCACAGGAGGCCTTTTCGCTGGAAGGTCAGGATTTGGGGTGGGGGAGGAAGAACACTAGAGAACAGGGACCTGCGGTGCATAGTATAAACACGGGCAGGAACAGATTTGATTTTCTCTACTTAGGGCACCGGGTCCATCAAGAGGACGTGCCCGTCCATAGTAGTCCCATAATATAGGGCCGCAAATGGCCAGGTCAGCCTTCAGCCTTCGACTACGGCAACTAGCTCGTATTGTCGAATTGTGGCATTGCAACTTGACCGCAAATCAGCATCTTGTATGCTACCCCTGTTGACGATCCTTCATATAAGTCCAGAATCCTGTCACTCAAACCACAACAGCATTGATGCGGTGATTGGAGTCATTGGACGATCAGACTGCATCCTAGGCGGGGAAAAATGGGTGAGCAGGAAAGTGCATGGGTAGAGTTCATGGGGATCGTTTCAGCCTAGAGCAGTGGCCGTGGAGCAGCGACCCCTCCTCGGCAGCAGCAGCAGCAGGCAGCAGTAGATGATGCTTTTCGTGACTTCGTGGGTGGTTAAGCATTTTCTTTGTATTCTTCAGGGCGTGTTAGATGGGGGGCACGGGAGTGGACCAGCGGTTGGGGGCCAAATAATGAATTTGTATCAGTGCTGTGTACACCGTACATACAGTACACAGTAGTGTGTACTGTAACTAAGTACTAACTGTGTTAGACGGGAGGGACAGGACTGAGTCAGGACTGGCTGAGCTAGACAGAATTTAGAGCCAACCCACCCTCTCAAGCCACGCTCCATTTGAGACGGTCGCTTCCCACCAATCGTTTGACCAGTCCACCAGGCAGGAAGATGTGTGTGTGCCTTGGGCGATTCTTATATGGACAAACTCCGGTCGCAAAATCGCATCCTCAAAACCGTTTGTTGTCTCATCTTCCCCCCTCCCCCTCTTTGCGGCGAGGGCTAGCTGTAGTAGTTATACGCCCTCCTCTTCGACCAACACGATCCCTCGACTGTCTGTCGAGACGTCCATCTCCCCTAAGACAACAATGATCGCTATGACCTCGTACGCCCGTTAAATGATGCTGGCGTCTCGAATGCAACTGCGGCGGCAGAATACGTTGATTGCATTGGGCATTGTGGCTCTTTGTGTCTGGTTTCTCACTTCCCTCACATCGCGAAGCGGTGAATTACCCCAGAGCCATGAGCAATTCTGGAAAGCCTTTCATCCGCTTCTTGTGGATTCAGCCCCGGATTGCCAGTCTCCCATCCGGCTGGGAAATGCCGAATCCTCCGGGTTCGACCCAGAGAGCACCGAGCCGCTGCCGGATCTCTTGAGGATGCCAGCCGACGATGTTGCGAAGATGCAACGAGCACACACGGCTTTCGTCAATGCAATCAAAAGAGAGCCTCCCACACTCAGTTACCAGCCGCGCACGCGTGGATTGGTATCAACAGCCGGCGGTCCGTATCTTCCAGTCTTGGTCATTTCACTGCGCATGCTGCGCCGCACAGGCTCAGCCCTGCCAATGGAGGTATTCCTGGCCAATTGGGAAGAGTATGATGGATATATCTGTCAGGTTGTCCTTCCCTCATTAAATGCGCAGTGCGTGGTGCTGTCGGAGATTTTGGAGGCGGTGCCAGACAGCACCAACAAGATCGAGAAATACCAATATAAGATCTTCGCGATGCTTTTCTCCTCGTTTGAGGAGATTCTCTTCCTAGATGCGGATGCGTTTCCTCTGCAGTCACCAGAGGCGCTGTTCACATCTGAACCGTTCAAGTCTAAAGGCTTGGTCACATGGCCCGACTTCTGGCGTCCGACAACATCCCCCTTGTATTATATGATCTCGTCACCGAAAGATCGCGAAACCCAATCGTCCAACCCGACCGGTCTCCGCCAGTCGACAGAATCGGGAGAAGTGCTCGTCTCCAAGCGTACACATCTTCGCACCCTTCTCCTGGCGACATACTACAATTTTCATGGCCCCAGCCATTATTACCCGCTTCTTTCACAAGGCGCAGCCGGCGAAGGCGACAAGGAAACATTTCTTGCCGCGGCTAGTGCACTCAACGAACCTTTTCATCAAGTCAGCGAGCCCATCCGGGCAGTCGGACGTCGAACTCCAGACGGTTTCGCCGGATCGACCATGGTCCAATACAGCCCAATGGAAGACTACGCCTTGACGAAACAGGGCATTTGGAGGGTCAAGGGCGCAACCGCGCCCGCGCCAAGTCCGTTCTTTGTGCATGTCAATTATCCCAAGTTTAACCCCGCTACAATCTTCACGGAGAATGGGGTGACCAACCCGGTGATCGACGAGAAGGGACAGTACACGCTGGCGTGGACGGCACCCGAAGAAGTGGTGGCATCGTTCGGTGACCATATTCAGCAGAAGTTCTGGGAGGACATTCATTGGACCGCCTGCGTACTCGAGGGGAAGATCTTGAGCTGGAAGGATCAGACCGGAATCTGCCAGCAGACAAGGGACTATTGGAATAGGGTCTTTGGCAAGTCCGCCGGTTATATGTTTAATCGCCTCTGAAAAGCCAAAAGAAGCTGGATCTAGATTTCACTGAGTGTTTACTGCGCTGGCTGCAGGGACTCCTGACATTCAAAAGGTGGAAATTGTGTTTCTTAGCGTCGTCTTGTTATTAGAGAGTGAGTACTTGCCTTCAGCCCCTAGGGTCCACCAATCCATCCTGCGGTGGCAGATTCGCAACCTGGTAAAAGAGTTTCCTACCAGTGTAATCATTCACTTGACCGTCACATCTGCCCCAAATCCCGCCATTATCACGTGAGATTTCATGGTGATACTAGGGATGTAATCTGGATGCGACGAGGTCCAACCATAGAAGGAAAAGCATGAGTCGCGCATGTGCCTTGAATAGTCAAACAAACAACCAGATGTATGTAGCCTTTGTAGCGGGAAGATGACCGACTAGCTCCGCGAAGTTCATCCTCTTCAGCTGAGACGACGTATACCTTGTCGGTTACATATAGAGGGGTCGTTTATCCCATCACCTGGCATGATCCTCCTCAATTAATCGAGCAAGCAAGTTCTCAATCTGCATGCGCCTTGTGGCGAAGCCAGGGGTGAACTATTTTTTTCCAGACGCCATTAGCAAGTCTGGGATAGTGAGATGTCATCATCAACGACCCATGACTTTGAGCATATCGAGAAGAAAATTTGTCTGGGAACGTGAGGAGCTCGGGTCGGGTACAGGTTGTATAAACCTTTACTTACCCCTTGTTTCTCGATACTTTAAGGTGTTTTTACATTAGCCCGGCTCATTGCATCTCTCTACCTAACATCTGAAAGATCCTTGAGCCTGCTTGCTATGTGCCATAAAAGAGGGGGTGAATGGTCGGGTCTCCACCTCTGATGCCTCAACTGACAAGGAGTCTGTTGCCGAGACAGCAGACATGCCCTGTGCGCGATCGAAAAAAGACTGGAGGGGAGGGATTAGTCACTACTCGTTAGCAAGGACTAGTGCTCTGGACCAAGTGACTTATTGGCCATGCGGAAGTGTTAGCGTTCTGATGTTGTTGTTCGTCGATGGTGCAGCAAGTAAATTGGGGAAAGCACATGCTCCGTGTGCTAGGCTCCAGGCCCTGCAGAAACGGTGTATGGGCCTGACAATGCAGAGACAAATACTCTGTAGTCTGGGAAGGATACGAAGGATGAATCGGTGTTCGAAGGCAGAACAGACCAGTCACCGGACGACCAGTTCATGGAGTGCAGGCGCTATTCAGCGCCAGATGGGGCAGGTAGATTGAAGGTTGCAAGGGCGAGAGGAGGAGTCATTGTTCGAGCCAAATTCTCACGGAATCCGCCGATTGCGCGACACTGGATATGCATCGGCTGGCAATCAAACTTCCGGAATCTCCTTATTATGTGTGTGTGTGGTTGACAGTGGAGCAGGGATGGACCAACGCACAATGCGATAGCTGGGATCATTCGTAATAGGCAGACATACTCCGTAAATTGGGGGAGACAGGTAGCGAATAGTTGACCCCCCTTATTGACGTAGACCCGAACGAGTCACTTATCAGGGAAAGAAAATACTCCAGTGGTGGCCACCTTGGTCAGTGGCTACGGAGTGCAGTCGGTAGTGAATGCCTATCCCTGCTGCTTGCTAAGTTACTAGTAGTCTAGGATGCAGTCAGTATCTCGCTAGCGTCGGCGACAGGCGGGTTCTCGACCTCCCCTCCGGATGACTGATCCATGGATGACTTGCCCCGACGGGTAAGGTGCGGGTGTGCCTGACGCCCTTTGGTGGCTGAGTTCAAATGATCCAATAGGAATGCATATTGAAAACGCACGGATCATCTACACGCCCCCGTCCATCCTTCCTCCTTTCCCACTTCTTGTCCAAAAGAAGTTTAGCTCACGTGGTAGTACAGCAGGAAAAAATCACCCCCAGGTAAGGTACGGAGGTCTTTCCTCAGTATTCTGCACCCGGAGGCAGGCGGAGCAGAGCTCTGTACGTCGTACCTGCATTTCTATCGCAGGAGGGCTACCAATTGGCAATAGAGAAACAAGACACAGAGAATGCGTAGGTCAACAACTCTTTGAACGTCCTGCTGATCATGGCATTATTGCCCCATATTATGATCAAACTTCTTAGTCGCAGCTTGTTCTCGATCGCGACACATGTTCGTGGCTAGTCGCCTTGACTTGATCGAATTAATTTATTTTCATGATCGGTTCGGGGATAGAAATCCCAGATGGAATCATGGAAGACTAATGGCCGATGGATACCGTCTCAAGAGTCAAGAACTAAAACAGCGAGTGGGCAGCCAGCAGCACGAGTACCGAACTGGAACCTCAATCGTTCTCCACCCCAGGCTAGCGCTGTCATGCGTGAAGGCCCAATCAACACCAGCCAGAAAGGCGGACAGACAAATTGCCGCCGGCACGGGCGGAGACCTGCCTTAGGCAGGTCATCGAGCTCGGTCGCGTAAGTAAAAAAACCACAACCACGGAGACAGTGCCTAACTGAACAAATCACTTATGTGTCGGGTGCATCCCTGTTATTAGGAACATATTGTATGCTAGCTTAAATGCTTCGAAGGGAGTACCTAGTTCCTAAGGAGAAGGTATCCTTGTTACGTGATTGGCAGAAGTGACAGGAGCCATACCACACCGCAGCGAATGAATGGGGTCTCTGTTGTTAGCGAGCTGTAGGTAGATAGTCAATTGAATAATGATGATCGTCTCCGTAGTTAACCAACTAAATGCTCTTATAAATCAAAGTGATTCCGTTCCGAGGTTGCTTAAGGATAGGTTTTCTTGGTTCTCCCCTGTCCCAGACACTCACCGCCCACGGTACTGGAGGTTGAACTGGCAGCAGGCCGGCTCCTGTGACGCTAATGCTGGGATGGAAGGAAAGAATCAGAGGCAGCCGAACCATGTCCATGCACACTGTTCAGAGCATTCGGTAGACCAAAGAGACTCGTCAGTCAGGTAGTCAGAAGTCGTAGGCACTCCTCCCGGCATAGTCGCCGCATATGTTTTTTCTTCCCTCTTGGCATCGTCACTGTTTCTTGTTTCCCCTGATCGCGCCCTGGATCCTCTATCTCGCGGAGAACGCTCTTGATTCGACAAACCCGCAACAGTGCTCCACTACCTAGAACCCGGGTCCTCGGGGGAGCTTGTCGACACGGGGCGCTCACACAATGCCTGCCCGGTTGCTGGAATGGTGCAGCTCACGTTGCTGCTTCGGCTCCAAACGGACCCTACGTCAGTAGTGGACTCGACCAGCCCATCCATACTCAAATGGAACTGCGCTCGCTCAGTCAAGTGCGTCCATAAGGAAGGACTTTTGGGATCGGGGAACAGGGCATTCATTGCCTATTCACGGTGGCTGATATGCACTAAAACCTTCGACTGTTCAGAGCAAGTGACCCGGCAGAAGTGTGTTTGAACCAACCCAGATCTTTCCCAGCCGCAGTCGCCTTGCTTGACAGTAGCGGTTTGAGGATTCATACGGTATCTGTAGCAGTTGATGCTGGAAGTGGTGGACAGGGCATGTTGCGAGAAGGAGAACCTTACTTGGTCTTAGAGCACTTGATACGAGGTATATGTGTAGACACTGGCCGAAATGAGAAAAATTGCCTCCTTTCATTGGAGGGGAGTATGAAGTGCATGCATTGTAGGATGAAGAACGATCGGGTAGCCAGTCGCAGATGGCGCAAGAGATGCAACCAGATGCAGGGGCTGGAACAAGGCGGTGGGCGGCTGCTCTGTAACAACCTGTGCCTGCTTCAGGCAATGCCATGTGAAGGTCTGTAACGTCTCCAATGTTTTACCGGTCGGTGGCACAAGGCGATGAAGATGAATTCAACGTCATGATACGAGGCAGGGCCAGACTCTGAGAGAGAGAAAGGATAAACAAGGGATGTTTAAAGCAGAACGTCTACAGTACCTAGGCTTATGCTATACTCGATGAGTAGTATCTATTTCTACCATCTATTTCTACCCAATCAGTCAACAATCAAAGTCTTTGACCAGGAACTTTCTTGCTTTATAGGTGCCTGCTCGCCTCTCGGACGTGGCTCTTGGGAGGGAATTACTATCCCCGAAGGACCGAGAGGACACCCCCATAGGGGGATAGATGGACCAACAGGAAAACGGCAGCAAAAGCAGACACAATACAGGCCAAAAAAAAAAAAAAAGGGAAAAAAAGACGCAACGGAAGAATTGAAAGCAATACCTAGGGCAATCCAAAAAAGGGAAGGGTCGAGTAAGAGAGAAAAAAAAAAAAAGGAAAAAAAGAGAGAAGGAAAAGAAAGGGAAAAAAAAAAAAAGGAAAAACCCAGACAACGAAGAGAAGAAAAGGCCAGCCCCACGGAGACAGTCAGGAACAGCCGGTGCCAAAACAGTCCAGCGCCAACTACTGACTCGCTAACCGTTTCGGGAACTCCCCCATCCCCATCCCATCCATGATCCATCCATCTCCTGACTGTGTCCTTCCTGTTGCCCTCAACCCGCCCGCCCAGCCCGTCCTCCTCCTCCTGCTCCTCCTACTTACTCCTACTCTCCTCCACCCGTTTGTCTTCTCTTCCCTTCCTTTCTTCTTTCTCTCTTCCTTACCGGCCATCATTTTTCCCTTCCTTTCTTTCTTCCCCCTCCTCCCCAATTCACTCTTTTCTTGTTGTTTTCACTTCAATTCCATTCGTTCACTTACAATCATTCGCTCGCTTTAGTCGATCGTTTCACTCTTTTACGATCCCTCGATTACTTCTCCTTGTCTTCGCTTACTCCAAACCGAGATTCTCTCGATCGTCTCCGCAACATCGCATTCTCGGTTCCTATGTCAATTGAAACTTGATAACAGAACTATATACTTCTGTTTCTGATTCACGAAGACCTGGATTCTTTTCGCCTTTTAAAGCTGCCTAGGTCAGCTGTTTATATTCGCCCCACCCCTTAGCCATACCATCCTCAATCGACGCTTCCGCGACGCGCGCATTTGACTGCCCCTGCTTTGTGTCTTCGAGCCCACGTTGTGCCTCACAGCCAAAGCGCTTCCATTCGTTTGATCTCACTACGATTCTCTCGCGCTTGACGCTGCTTTAGAGAGACCGATATCTCACCCCCTTTTGACTGTCGACCGGATCGTCACCAAAAACTATCCCCTCCCTACACACTTCGGAACGTCCGTTTCCACCTTGGTCGTATCTCCTTTTTTTTATATCCTCGTCGTCCTCACTCCGAACGTCGCCCAATTTTTGCATTTCTGCAAATATGTCTTCGACAGGCACTCCTGACCCTGCCACCACCCCATGCTCTTCCACCACAGCAGTAGCTACGGCAACTTCGTCTCCCTCGGAATCCTCGACTCCATCCCCAGCCATGTCCAATGCTACAACGGCTACTGCTCCCTCCGCACGCCGACCTCAAAGAAAGAGCACTTTGACGCAACAGCAGAAGAACAACAAACGCCAGCGTGCGACTCAGGATCAACTGGTCACCCTCGAAGTCGAATTTAACAAAAACCCTACCCCTACCGCCGCTACCCGCGAGAGAATTGCTCAGGAAATCAATATGACGGAGCGGTCCGTTCAGATCTGGTTCCAAAATAGGTTCGTGACGTTCCCGAAGATGATTGCATGGAGCGTACTGACCGCGCCGACATAGACGCGCCAAGATCAAGATGCTTGCGAAGAAGAGTATCGAAACCGGGGAAGGATGCGATTCAATCCCTGAATCAATGCGCCAATACCTAGCAATGCAGTTCGATCCGAGCAAGCCTGGCGCAAGAGACCCTTTCGGCCGGACAGGAGGGTACGGGACCAATGGGGCTTACACGCAGGAGCCCACTCCTTCCGGCAAAGTTGGTATGTTTTGTCGAGTTATGACGATGTTCAATCAGCCTTGCTGACCGCTGTAGTTATTCATCACTTCACATGTCGTTCCTTGACAATCGGCAGCTGGCGCCGCATTGGACAAAACGCAATGGACCTCGTTGTCTTCTATTCTCCTGAAAAAGCATGCATGACTTACTACATCAACAACGATTCTGCCGGATACAAGATCGAATACCCCTTTTCCTACATCAAGAACATCACGTTGGAGTCTGGTGACCAGACCCCCGGTCCGAATGGCGCTCCAACGCGGACAGGCGGTCTGGTCGTGGAATTGAATCGACCTCCACTGTTTTACATGGATTCATCCAACTCTGGTGGCTTTTATCAATGCGGTGATTTCACGGAAGATCAGCAAGCAAGCCAAATTCTAGTCCATCATCTGGGAGGCCATCCCAAGGTTCTTAGCGTTCAGCTGGCTAAACTCGTATCCCTAGAGTCGTTCCAGAATCGCCTGGCTTATAGCAACTTTGCTATGAACCCACCCATGTCGCCTCCTTTCATTCAGCGTCCTGCCTCGCAACCCAACCAATTCGCGCAAGCGTATATGAATATGTTTCCCGAGACCCCAACTCACCTGACCGTGCAGGCGGCCCGTGGCCACAAGCGGCAACGGAGTCGCTCAGTTCCGGTAGCTGTCGACTTCTCTGCAATGCAGGCGCCGCTTGCCCAATACAATTTCTCCCAGACTCCTGCCCACTTTGGCCAACCTGACACAGGGATCTTTGCCCCAATTCCGCAATCGACTCATCCACTGGCTCTGAATTTGCGAATTGATACATCTGCTGCCTTCGGGTTTGATCCGCGAGCCCATCCCATGTCGGCTACTACCACTGCTTCTCCATCTGAGTTCGCTAGCCCAGGCCTCTTCAGTACTGGTGCAGGTGGAGACTCGACCCCTGTTGCTACCAGCATGGGAACGCCATTCAGCTTGCCATTTGTCACGCCCGCTGTCGACTCCGCTGTCGCACACCAGACGGCCACATACCCTAGCATTGGTCATGCCGACCCTATGATTGCCAACCACTCGCCACCGCTCTCCAACATCTCGCACACATCACAGGACATGTATGGTTTGGGTGCCGAGCACCCAACTAGTTACTCAGACGAGGGGATGGGCATGAATGGAATGTACACCAAGCACAACATGACTTTCAACGTTCCTCAATCCATGGGCCTCGAAAGTGGTGCTTTCGACCTGTCCATGCAGCCGATGTCTGGACACACCTCTCCTGGTGTTCACGGCGAATTCCAGAGTTTGACTCTAGAGAATGTGGATTCTAATGCACTGGCGCGCGGCTCCTGAGAATGACTACATGTTTCCCACAAAAAGAATCAAAATCTCGGCTCCCGAGCTTTCTCCAGCCGTCTTTGTCAGATCGAGAGTCGTGATGACGATTCGGGCTTGACCTTGACCGGAAATGTCACTCAGGTTCAGGCACTATTCGCTTGACCCCCTCTCCAGGGCTAATGATCATCTTTTCAGACTTTTCCTGAGACCTTGCGTCGAATCACTTCGATACGAAGGATTTCAGTCTTTCTTACATTGTGCTCTAAGCGTGTCTTATTCTGTACTATTACTCTTCTCTGTGGCTGGTCCTGAGCGTTACACAGCGCCTTCTCTTTCATTCTTCAATAAGCACACCTGGCTGGGCTTTTTTTGGATGCTTCTCTACCGTCCCTGACCATTATTCATTTTTCTTTGCTTTTCTCATCCCTGGTCAGGGGTATTTTTTAACGTGGTTATGCCAGAGAGTCGGGATAAGACGGCGACAGTTGGTTTATCTTCTATCTGTTTCTTGGGTTGGCGGGTTAGGAATTGTTTGCATTTCTTTGTGTGACGGTTACTTGGTGCCTTGAGCAATGCTATCTTGTCAGTGTGTGAAGCTGAGACGATCTTGGCAGACATATTCCGAGTTCGACTGAGATGAAGACTGATCATGATGACTTATTCTCCCGTGTAGAGAACGTGTAATTGAAAGAGCTAGACCAACGGGCTCTCAAACATGGTATCACGCTTTAATTCGCTCAAGTATACATCCATATATCCCAAAACGCGCCGACTGCTGACAGCCTCCCCTCGCCCAAGCCCTGTATCATTGAGCAAAGCCCTTCGGAACGGGGCTCTTTAACCCTCGATTTACCCGCAGATATCGTTCTACCCACATCTCCATGCGCTCCAGTACGTTGGCATCCCCGCGCTTTCCACTGGGATCGATCCCATCCCGACACCAGATACTCCAGGCACCCATCTCCCGTGCCATCAAGACATCCGTCCCCAAACGATCGCCTACAACCGCGATCTCGTCGGCGCGCGCCACTACCCCACGTTCCTGGAACCACGCTAACACCTGCGCCCCGCAGAATGGTTTCTTAGCCGTCCCCGGCGGCAACCGATACACGGGAATTTTGAGGTCCCCCAGCTGTGTCTCGAGGTGGTGGACTTCGTCATCATAGCGTGGGTGGCTCCCGGCGCGGTTCGAGACAATCAGGACCGAGTTTGGGGATGCGGTCAGGTTGAAGGGGGATGTCGAGGATGTGCGCAGCGCGGTGAGCTTGGCAACGATTTCCGGCGGAAAGGTCGTAGTCCGGGCGGGACAGAGGGTGTTGTCTTTATCAAGAACCAGGGCGCGAATCTGCGGGGATTTTTCAAGGGTGCTTGTGGTGCTTGTGGTGCTTGTGGGCGTTGCTAAGGCTTCGGAGATGGCGGGGCCGATTTGTTCGGGGAGGTGGGTAAATGTTGGGACAGTAAGGTGAGGGAGGAAGTTGGCGGGATTACTGAGAAGGGTTGATACGGCGAGGTTGAAGGCGCGAAGATTGGTGTTTGGAGGATTCATCTTTCGGGCTTCTCTTGATGTGGTTGGTGATCTTGGGAATAGAGAGAGAGCTAGCTGTGGAAGCTATGTAGCTGGATGGAGAGCTTTAGTGGAGGGAATCAGTCCGGAGGGAGGGTGACCTGGGCCGGTTTAGTTGTACAGCTGATTTGTAGACGAAAAGAACAAGCATAAGTTTGTTCTGCGATTGTATACTGGTATTAGCTATTATGTTGCAATAGCATTGAGTACCTATACCCAGTTACAAAAGAGAAAATGTTCAGTGCGCACACAAGTTGATGCGTGGATAAAATCCTCCTCTCTACTCCAATCCTGGCCCGAGCCCGCAGAGCCGCAAAACTCTCCGCTGCCGAATCAATCGGATTGGGACTCTCCCGGTCAAACATCGCCAGGTCTGTCCTTTGCATCCAACAAACTTCCCCCCACCCCATTGTCGCAGGACGATTCTTCTTTCATCCCTACCTTCCACCTTCATTTTCACCGGCAACCCCGTCCAGTGCACCTTCTTTCCCCTCTCCCTCCTATTTCCGACCCGACTTCACAATGGGCAAGTTGACCAGCACGATCGGTATTCCGATCAAGCTCCTGAACGAGGCGCAGGTGGGAATTTCCTTCTCGAATACCCGTGATTCCTTGATCCAGATCCTCTCTGAGCTAACCCTATGTCTAGGGCCATGTTGTCACCCTCGAAATCACGTCCGGTGTCGTGTACCGCGGAAAACTTCTGGAGGGTGCGTCGTCTTCCGAACTCCCGATCCTCGTTTTGCTCCCTCCCTTCGCTACAATCAACACGAAAGACATCGTCGCTGACTTGATCCGAACTAGCTGAGGATAACATGAATGTTCAACTCAAGGATATCACGGTTACTGCTCGCGACGGTCGCGTGTCACACTTGGACCAGGTCTACATCCGCGGCAGCCATGTTAAGTTCTTCATTGTGCCGGATATGTTGAGGTTGGTCCTCTCTCTCTCTCTCTCTCTCTCTCTGCGTGGATCTGTTCCTGCGATCGTGACTCGGTTCTAATTTCATGACAGAAACGCGCCCATGTTCCGTTCGCGAGGCCAGCGCGGCCGCGGTGTCGGTCTGGCTCGTGGTAAGGCTACTGTGCAAAGAGCTCGCGGCCAGCGGCGAGGCTGAATAGGGATGGGTTCTGGCGATGATGGGGAGTGGATAATCATTAACTTGGTCGGCGTTTGTCTTTTCTGCTATGGCTGTGCAACCTTGGATCTGGGTCGATTGGGGCGATTCTCGTGAATCGAATAAATATCAAACAAAATCGAATGACGATTGGCCCTAATTTTGCGAAAACTGTAAATCTAGTTCTATATTATGAATATGTCGAGTATACACGTTCTGCAGGGAAAGGATTTGGGGTTCGTAGGAGAAGCAGCCTACGCTTCTATTCGATCACGAGCTACCCACGTACATAGAAGTACGGACAACACCAACTAATTGTACCGTTCGGAACAGGACATTCATACAATCGCTCGTAAAGTCTTTCATCCTCGTCCATGGATTACAGGTAAGAGGTGCCAGAGAGAATACGAAGGATGGCGACCGACCAATTTTCCGCACTGTCCCCTCCCGTCATTTCTACTCTCCCTCCGCTCTCTCTCCCCGCACCCGCGCACTATCAATTTCATTCAGTATCACCGGCTGTGTTGCCTCCCTTCTATAATCTTCCCAGAATCACTCTAAATAGATCAAGAACAAAAACCTCTCAATCTTCATTATGAGCCCCGACAACCCCAATACAACGACCGCAACTAGAATCCGCAATCCGCGCCGCCTCCTCATCCTTTCGCCCAGCTCGCAGTCCACGACTATCATCCCTCCCCTCCTTCACACCCTCACCGGCGCACCTGTCACCGAGCCACCCTCCACAACGACTACACCCACCCCTACAACGGCCCTCTCCTCTACCGCAACTCTCGTGGGCTCCTCCGCATCCTCAACCGCAACCGCAGTCGCGACGACAAGCTCGCCGACAATCACTGCTACGAGTTTTGCCGGTTACACAACCCATTCGCCCCTCTCTATAAACAACCGCTACTACACGGCCGAGATCCCAGTTTGGGTCGACGAGATCCCTCTTACAGCAGTTCCATCATCATCATCACCATCACTGTCGACACCCACCGCCCACCTTGCCCCATCCCCCGCGCAATGGAAAGCCGAATTTTCCGGCGCCGATGCCCGGGTCGTTCGCGACGCCATCGGAGCGGTGATAATTTGCGTCTCCAACCCGGTTGATCGCCAGCCTTCGTCGTTATTGCCCACGGGTCTCACGGACCTTCCATCATCATCACTATCGTCAATAGCCGCGGGCACTACAAGTACCACTACGCGGGAGCCGGCCGAGGATCGCCCGGATGTTCGGTCCCTGAAGGAGTTTATCCACGCGATTGGAGCGGTTCGGGGATTGATTGAAGAGGAGAGAGGGGGAGTGGGAGTCGGGGAGGTGCCAGGCCTGTTGGTCCTGGTTGAGCAGCGGGAGAACATGCCACCTTCTGTTTCATCATCCCCATCACCATCATCATTTTCCTCTTCCGCTACTGCTGTCGCTGGCAAAATCAAAACGAGGGGAAGTGCCGGATTGGATGGACTCGATGATCTGGATGATGATTTGAATGTTGAGATTGACGAGCCGTTCTCCGTGGGGTGGTGGGAGGATCAACTGTGTGAGATGGGCTTGATGGGATGGGAGGTTGTGCGGTGGTGTCCGAATGGGGCGGAGGATGAGGGGAGGAACCGATATGGAGGTTTGTTCCCCCTTTCTGGAACTATTCCCTTCTTCTATTCTGTATGCATTGGCCCTGAATTCTGGGGATCTGCGCTGACGTTTGGGGAAACCTTGGATTTTATCTAGAACTGCAAGGCATGCGCCGGGTCAAGGAAGTACTGGAGACACATGATTGGAGTGCATCGGAAGACGCTGGGGGAATGGGTACGGAGTTCGATGACGACGATGACCTGGAAAGACAACTGTTGGGAGTGGGTGAGGAGGGAGAGGCCGGGTTTGATGTCGAGGTAAATGAGCTGGAGCGCGAGATGGTTGGTCTGCGGACGGCGATCGAGCGTGGAAGCGACGATTATTTTGTCGAGGAAGATGAAGCGGACGAGGAACTGCGAGTGGATGCGGTGGAGGCGCTGCTGCGGCGGATGCGAGCTATCAAAGGTGACATTTCCTCGTTTTCGCTAGCCAAGATGCGACATTCCTGGCTAATCGGATGATCAGATATGAGCGACGGGTTACCCGAAACGGAACGGAAGCGGTTCGCTGCCAAAGCGGTCCGTGATATCATGAAGCAACTATAGCAAGCACGTATCCGGAGCATATATATGAGATGATGTGACCCACATTTTCTACATACTACTACATATGATATCTGACGATGAAAACTCTTCTTTTCATGAAGAACACCCCACCGCAGAACCTCGATTCCTCATTCATACACCGACCGTTTTACCACAGCACCGCACGGCACAGCACAGCCACGTGTGGCCACAGCCCTGGTCCGGAGCAGAAGCTGGGAGATATGGTAACCCTACGCCCGAATCTCAAGCTATGTTCTTGGCTAAATCCCACCCCCACCGCCTTTTATGTCTTTTTCAACGCCTTGCGTCTCTGAGCGATCATATGCGTGTAAAGGATATACGAGCCTATCCCGGATTAGCTTTAAACCGTAAAACCACTCTCAACCTACACCACCCAAACGGGAAAAACCTGGCAAAACCGGAATGTGAATGGGACGTGACATACCGGGGACATAAATGCCCAATACCACGACCAAGAACCACCAATACGCGGCACTCAGCTCCGCCGCCGGGCCCAGCGCCTTGACCACCATCACGCACTCGCTGCTAATGCCAAGCGGATACAGCACGTAGAAGGTGTTGTACCGCAGCCACGCCCACCACGCCGGCACCCCGACACCAGAGACCTGCAGCACAAAGAAACCATAGCGGATACATTCGGTCACGCCCCATGCGCTCAGGCAGCCCAGGAAGGCGTAGTCGCCGGTCTGGGGCGTGGCGGTGATGGTGCGGACGTTGCCGACGATCCGACCCTGGAACAAGTACATGATCCCCCAGACAAGCAGAATGCGACTGGCCACCTGCATCGCGGTCGTGGCGACGGGGGCTCGCACGAGGCCCACCAGGCTGTGCAGGATTTCCAGCAGGGCCAGCGACTGCGTGATGAGGAGGAGCGGATAGACTTGGTTGAAGATCATGGGGAGCGGAGTGCCGTTCGCGAGGAGGGAGAGACCATGGAGGGTGCAGGTGGCCCAGAGGGAGAAGCTGAGGCCGTTGTAGAGAATGAGGTAGAGTTTTGTGAGTGGGGAGGCAGGCTTCGATGGTTTGCTGGAGGTGGCCCCTGTTCGGGGCTTGGGATTCGTGCCAGAAGACATGGTCTCTCTTGTTTCCTTTTCCCCTCTTTGCTTTCGATTTTCGTTTTCCTTTTAGGGAAGGGGGGAGGAAATCCCAATTTGGTGAGGCCGATTGGGCGTTACTCCGGGAACTTTGGAGGTCAGATTGGAGAGGCGGTTTGCGATTTATACAGGGAAGAGAGACGCAGAAATCAATCCTTATCGTTGAGGGCAGGTTGCGTTAGCCTTTAGACTAATTGCAGTTTTGACGGCTGGGCAGGTTGGGTGACCGGGGTTTTGAGCCAAAGTGCACTGAAGTCGGACAAGGAATTGACTAGGATGGCACCTTGTGGACGAGGATAATTGGAGTTGAATCTGTTGGGAGCGTTGAGCCGAGGCTGTATTAGGTAATCCGATCAGCTCTCTCCGCGTCTCCCCACAGAGGAGAGACCTGACCAACTGGCATTCAACGATTTATTTGCAAATCGACCAGGCGAGCGCAGTGCTTGATGCGATGCAGGATCTGCTGCAAGCAAGAAAATCTCTCTCTATGCGCTTACGACTATGGACAACTCTACGGTAACACAGTGATAATATCTTGTAAGCTGCAATTGTTCTTTATAATCTGGAAACAATAGGATACTAAGCATCAAGCGAGAGAGGCACAACTTTTCGCGGCCCGCCTCCTCGCTGGTCTCATCTTCTGGAATCATAACTTAAAACAAATTCTTATAACAGACACTCAGACATACTCGCTGGAATAAAGGACTGTGAATGCATCCCGCAGTCTTGCGATGGGTGGACTAGCCTCCAGCATCAGTCGCAACTCGGCTGCATTCGTCATCCGCTGCTAAACAGTTCGTGACCGTACAATATCATAACATTCGTGATCCTCATCATCGCTATTGCAAATATTGTGCGAGCAAGGTATACCACTGAGAAGGGAATGGTGGGATAAACGCAAGGCAAATGCTTTAGGCTAGAACCGCCAGAAGCGGTACTCATTCTCCCCTGGTCGGGAAAACATAAACAAAGAAAAGAAAAAGCATCATGATGACAACGGCGGAAAAGTACGAACGAACAGAGGCGATGCAATCGCTAATTGCTGTGCTGAGAGTCTCATAATCATCAATGCCGGCATTTATCATCGTCGTATCGTGTCTTCCGTTATTTTCAAGGCCGTAACACGTCACCTAATTCGCGCGGATTACGAGTCTTGAAACAAATTTGTTGGACAAACAGTCGAAGTCGTTGCGGTTGAATTTGGTATTAGATCGGCCACGCAGATAGCTCTCTATTTGGGACATTAGTCAATCAATCAGATGAAGGAGCGCAGGAGAGATGTACCATATTGAGTCACGTGTTGGCGGACTTCAGTCATCGTGGTACAGACATCAGGATTCGAGTGCAGCAGGTGGTGATGTTTTGTGGTTTCCCAGTCCGTGAAAGCGGGAAGCTTCTGCGAAATAGCCTGGAACAGGCCAACAATGACGCCAACAGGAGTAGTCTCCATATCATTGCAGAACTTCTCCACAGCGGCAGGTTCCTAACCGAGGTCAGTCTTGTTGCTTCATCCAGGGCGGAAAAATCCGAACAACTCACCGGAGTGCGGTAGTGACAATCAAACTGCATTTCCTCCCAGACCGCCAGAAGGATTGAGGCCAGGATGAAGATGGTGGGCCAGTTCTTCAACTTGTCACCGCTGTAGACGCTGGAGTAGAGGCTCGACAACTCTTCTAACACATCCTTCTGCAATTCTCGCCACATGTTCGCCATGGCACACTTAATCTGAAAGTTAATCATGACCGGCGCCATGGTCTTGCCCTTAAACTTCGATGTTGTGGAGTCAATCTTTCCAGGCATGCACTGCTCCTCACCCAGGCCTTCCACCATGGTCACATGAAGCGTCAGGTTGTAAGCAATGATAAGCTTCAAGGCCTTGCGAATGACTGGGAGCTTTGTGCGGTAGTAGTAGCGGAAAGCAGTCTTCAGCATCTGTGTCAGGAAAGGTGTGCCCTCGAAGTAGTCGTCAACAAACTTCTCAAAGGTACCGTTGCCGTCAATGTGGCGATCCAGATATTCGGAGAGCATCGCATGGGAGATACCCTCCATGCCAGCGGACAATTTGGCAGTCTCAACCTCGAACTGGGTAGGCTCCCGGTGCATGGCCTCAACCCAGTCAACGCTGAAGCATTGTTCGTCACGCACATACACTTCGCGTGCGTTGATTGGAAGAATTTGGCCATATCCGTGAGTGATAAAGAGCGTCGTCTCATGTTCCGAGAAACCCTTGATGTTTCCAACTGAGAACCCAAGAGAGATGTGGCGTTCATAGTCCGCTTTCCAGTCCTTCATGAAATAGCCAATCTCCTTAATGTCAATGCGAGTGCACGGAACTTGCCACAAGCGAGCATGTGATGGTTGGCAGCCAGCACAAGGCTCACCCTTGTCGCACTATTAATCAGGTTAGCAAGTGCAATCAGGGTCATTCGTTTCAGCAACGATAACTTACAGTTTTCTTGAGGAACTTGCAACGTAGGCAAGCTCTCAACTTCCGTATCTCGCTGGCCTGTTTCCGCTGATCAGGCTTGAGTGGACCCTTGCGCTTGCCAATGCGCTTCTCGGTGGTTTCTGGCTTGCCATTCTGCGTTTGCTTCCGAACCTTGGTCTCCGCTGTCTTTGCAGCGATTGGGCTCTTGCGAGAAGGCTTTCTACTCGGAGGCGAAGCAGAAGACTGCGACGCGGCAGACCGCGGGGAGGTTGGCTTCTTGGCAGTCACTGGAACGGGTCGTACGATGTTCACAGGGCTGACTGCCGTGGGGGATACTGAGCCGTGCGAAGTGTGATCGTAGGATACGCGCCGGGTCAGGCTGTTGTTGAAAGCCGCATCGAAGTTGGTGTCAGATCCGGGTGAATTGATGGGGTTGGTGATCTCCACGAAACTGCCATAAGACGTCGAGTATGAGGATTCCGACAGGCTCCTATCGTGTAATGTCTGCGTGGGATTGATGAAGAATTGATCCGGATAGGTGAACTCATGCGGACGCCGAGTCTCAATGGTATTCCAACCATTGTCGCTACTTGAGCTGGTGAGAGAACGGACTTCCAGATAAGTGTCAGTCGGTGAGCTGCTCTCAATCAGGTTGTGCGGCGCAGCATAGGAGGTCAGATCCGGGAGACCGTGAGGGGCCGTGAAACTCATGAGGTCGGTTTGGAAGTCCTGATAAGGAAAAGGCATCATCTCCACTGGTGCGGACAAGGGCAAGTAGGGCCCATCCAACAGGCTCGTGCTCATGTGGTCATGGGCTGGGGGCATCAGATCCACGGGCGAAGAGTGGAGGGGCATGCCATAGCTGGCAGTAGTGTACTGAGGGGCGGAGGATGCCTCCTCTTGAGTGTACTGAAGGTGGGGTTGCAAATGCTGCCCGTGGAATTGCCAGTCCACGATCAGGTTAGGGTCTTGGATTACCGACTGCTCAAAAGTGTGACCGCTGGTTTGTAAGGGCGAGATGTCTCGCGATCCATCTGGCCGTTGGGAGGACTGGGGATCCACTGCCAGAGGCCATGACTGCGACTGGAGATAGTTCCTTGAGTCATAGTCTAGGCCAATGAAGCCGTCACTGGATAAATCGACATTGGACATCGTGACAAGTGAAACTATTTACCAAGGTAGACAAGTAGTAAAGGAAAGGAGGGCATCAAACCAATTTCGTTAAGCAAAGGAGAGGTTGGAGAGAGAGAAGAAGGAAAAACAAGAAAAGGGAAAGGAAAAGGAAAAGGAGGAGAATGAGGTGACAAGAGATCGAGTGATGGACGGATAGACAAGTGGTGTCGATTATCTGGAGGGTTGGGAAATGAGGAGGAGGGGGAAGGATGAATGGATGGAGAAAGCAAGAACACACAGATACTTTAGATAGTAGAGACACACAAGAGAGGAGACACATACACGACACGCACGCACGCACGCACAAACAGTTGCGGGTGGTACAAAAAACAAATAAGAAGGAAAAAGAAGGCGAAGAAGAAGAAGAGGAAGAAGAAGAAAAGTGGATGATGGGATGCAACAGGAGATGGGCGAGAGCAGCCTTAGGAAGAGAAAAGCCCAGAATCGGAATCCGGGGGATGCAAAAGACAACCAAGTAAGTGTGAGCGCCAGACAAAAAGAACCCGAGAGCAGGCGGGCGGGCGGGCGGATACTGTAGCATGAGGCCATGGCTTTTAGAGAATTTAGAGAATTTAGAGAGAAATTACTTGGAATGGTCTAGTGAGATTCACCAGACTACTCAGAAGGGACTAGGAAAGGTGGGGAGGGGATGGAAAAGAAGCAGTGAAGCACACACACAACAAAGCAGCGGTGAGGCGCCAAAGTGCAAGCAAGAGAGTTGCAACGAGTTTGCGTCGGCCGGAGAATACGCTAGGGAGTGCTGGGAAGGAGGGCTTCATCCCCAACCCGGTTTAGTCGAGGGTAATTACCACGCCCCTCTCCTGCTTGCTCCAACATCCCCCCATGACCCTCTCTTTCTCTCCCTCTCTCTCTCTCTCGCTCTCGCCCTCTCTTCGCCTTTTGCTTCTTCCAAATTGCATTGTATCTTATTGCTCTCAGTTCAAAGAAGCATGCCGGCTACCATGACCCTGAAGGGGTCTAGGTCTACACCGTCGTCACCCACTCTATAGTAACCTAACTTAGTACTAGTCTAATACTGCACGTACTCCTCTTGTCACTTACAGTAGTCTCTTCCTAGTCCCATCTGGCGCTTCCACTGAGACCTTCCCTGATTAACAAGAACCAGAAGAGTAAATCCCGGTTGAATTCGGTTCGGCATCACCGTAGATTCGCCAGATTGACGAGTCTCATTCATATCATCGGGAATGGTCTCTGGGCAAGCGAAACCTTCCTTGACTTTCAACGACACACATGAAAGGATATGGGACGCTAGTCTCAGTGACGGTGGAAAGCAGTATTGTACTAGTTGAATACAGACCTGCATCGGCTGCATCGTATTATGTTGGCGCACCACTTCCGGCAAAAATCACCAGTGACTTGCTTTGCCCACCGGACGATTGGTTATGTACCAGGTAGCACTACCGATCAACTGAGCAGAGAACTACTACCTACGATCAACCACCACCACCATATCACAACTATGAGTTCCACCTTGACCTCCTTTGAATGGGTGCCGGACTGTCCTTGATGGTTCGCTTCACACGGTATTTGGTAGACTATGGCGGCTCAAAACCGACCACGGTACGAGACGGAATTTTCCGTTGGCAAGACACGGGAGCAACATTCGGGCCAGGGAGATCAGTGGGAACCGGCCAGATCGGTTGGGAGGGGCTTCTATTGACTACTAAGGCAACACGATTAGTTATTGGCATAACTAATGGGGCAGCTCCGATCTGCCCGGTCGTGGCAATATTCGGATGGGCCGTTGTTCGGAATGAAATGGCCCCGCAGCCACTGACCTACTCGTAGGTCAGCAAGTACTACAGAAGGAGGTCTTTCACTCATCACTCTACTGTGAGGATAGGGCACAAAGCACTTTCCGCTGTTCAACTCAGCCACCTGTGCGGATGTATTCTCCCTCGATGACATTTTCCATTGCATATGGTACAACCGCTACCACCTCCATAATACTCTTCCTACTGCCGGAGCTGGTATGTACCGGTAGTTCCATACTTGGCCCATATCCGGCCTTGTCTTAGTATGTACTGTACGTATACGTACGTTAGTACTCGCCTGACTAGGTAAGGTAGGTAGATCCTGGGTATCAACCAATAGTACGCGGTACCTAGTATCCCGCTGTCCTGCTCATTCAATGGTGCACACATCACGATATTGACCCTGTTGCCAACAAGGTGGCTGACTGTACATGAGCACCAATCATCACGGCCAATTAATAGAAACCTTGTTCTCAGCAGCGGCTCGAGAATTCTGGGTATGTGGGCATGGAAGAGGAAGAGAAGCCTTGTCTGCATTGGTCCCGGATGAGGATGATGAAAGACGACGGTATGAGGGCAGATCATGGAATATTCGGTCTTCATCGGAGTCATTGCAAGCTTTGAGATATACTGTGAACAACGCTGGGCACATGTGGTCCTGCGCTGTGTTGGTACAATTTTTGTACTGTACATCTGTGCTGTCAGAGTACGCAATTGTCCATCGTCGTCTGCTGCCTTCGGCCCATTTCGTTTTAGATTTTACCAAGAATCAAGGAAGGGATATCCATAACCGCCAAACTTAATGGCTCAATCATCGCAAGTCAAAGCCCCATTATGACAGGTCTAAATGGAGTCCCAACCACTTGCAAGGCCGGGACACTATCAACACCAGCATCTTTCATGGGACCGTGTTTCGCGAAGTTAAAACGATGTTGGCTGAAGCCCCGAGGGACTAGCTTGGAAGTATGGTGTATTTCAAACTACCGGTAGGCCTACCGGTAGGCCTACAAGGTCTCTCTCCCTATGGCAGCTGGAACCGAGAGTCAGGCATGAGGAAACGCTCTGCATAGGCAAGTATGACTGAAGACAAGGCCCGGGGCTCCACACCCGAGGATGTTCGACAAATTGAGATGGAAGTTACGAAACAATCAGTCTCTGCAGTTTGACTTGCAGTTTGCCACGCCAGCGGATTCACGCAACGATATTTCCAGCACATTGTCATTTTGGCGGCCAGCAATTTGATCGGGACGCCGGTTGACGACTATGGCGCTTGCAAGAAAGGCATCCATTGAAGTTTTATTATTAGTAGCACATCCACAGCTCTAGCTCCAACTTGTACGGAGTATGGTGTACTCTACTACTCTTCAAAGGCTAGATCCAGCATGGCGACAACGGATCTTCCTGGTCAGATGGTCAGTGCTTGAGGCCTAAAGTTATCGGTCAAAGTCGAGACAGCAGCGATCGATTAAGTTTAAGTTTTGACTGGGTCGACTCTTGTCCTTACGAGAAGTATAGATAGATATCTCGCATTCTTTGTTGGTGCCGACAAAATTGCTTGTCAGCTTCCCCTCCCCCCCTCCACGCCTCGAAGATGGGGGGGCCCAATCGCGGGTGCAACTGTGAGCCTCCCAGGGAGGGATCGGATAAGATGTTCAAATCAATCCTTGTATTGTGTTAGACAGAAGTGATTGCCGGCAGGGGATGGATTTAGCTAGGATTAAGAATCAGGCCGGAATGTTCGCTAGCCTGTCTGGGCCAACCAAGGGACGAAGATCTATTCCATATCCGTGACGACTGGAGGGCAAGAACAAAAAGAATAGCGCTGAGCGGAACGTGTCAGTGACTCAGTAGTCACTTTAACCACGAGACTACTAATTAGTAATCCATATAGGTGCGATACACAGCCTCTTTCAAGTGAAGGAAAGTATGGATACTAGAGGACCGCAAGTACTCAGGTACTCTGTGAGTCTGTAATGGAAGTATGTACTCTACATAAGTCATATTCGTTCTCAAAGTTGAAGTTGGATGGGCAGCGGCCAAAACAAGGAAGAATTGCGCACTTGGCTTGTTCCCTCACCTCGACAAAACTGGGGCCGGAGGGGTCAATCTCGAAGGGCCACCCCACCACCACCTGACCAAGCAAGAACAATGAACTTCGTGGATGGCGATAACAGAGATTATCCATTGACATGGGGAGAGAACAATCCAGTGCCATCCCCAGCTAAATCAATTTTTTTTCTCAGTTTGCTCAAACAAAGGATTACCTAGAAACCATTTAGAACAGTTCATATAAACTCTCAATCGGTTCGATCTACTAGGATCTCATGCCGATCGTGATCGCAGCCTCAGGGAGACAGCGGCGCAAAGTTCGTTTCACTGCTTCCACTGCTTCCAACCAAACACCGAAGACGAGAAACACGCAGAACCTCACCATCAAGCCTAAGTATCCGAATAGCAGACCTTTACCTCCTGTGTCTTCTTCGACTACTACTCCTGTTGCTGCTACGGCAGTCACTACTGACTCACAATCATCGCCAAAACACCACGACAAGATGTGTGAACCACAAGTGCAACCCGGTGTGCCCGGTCTGTTCACCACGCCGCCTTTGCTCTTGGATGCCTTGGTCACAGAGACCTCCGAGGCTCAGGCCGAGACGGTCAGCAAATGTCTGCCATTCTTGAAGGGGACTCACAGCACCCAGAATGGCCCCTTCAATCGATTTGGCGTGCCCGCCCTCATGAGGGATGAGCATGTAGCCTATTTGTTTGATTCCTTAGAAGACTATCCGGAAGGTTTCGTTGCCATGGACGCCAGCCGGCCATGGTTGGTCTACTGGGCATTGGCAGCCTTGAGCCTCCTGCGTGAGGATACTAGTAAAGTTCGTGAACGGTGAGTCAAATGCTCGTGCTGTTTATTGTCAATTCGATTGTGGGCTTGTGTTCGATGTTGCAGCATCAGAATGAAACACGGCCGATTCTGGGGCCGGCCAAATGCTCAATAGACTCAACGCTCACTGAGACTCATGGTCCTTCCCTAGGGTTATCAATACATTCATGTCTATGCAAAATCCAGCAGGGGGCTTTGGAGGTGGCCATGGCCAATTGTCCCACTGCGCTTCCAGCTATGCTGCTGTGCTTTCCCTTGCGATGATCGGAGGCGAAGAAGCATACAGCTTGATCGACAGGGAGAAAATGTGCGTCGTCGAGCTGACGCCCGATTTTGGCCTTGGATGTGTGCTAACTTCGACCCAGGTGGAGATGGCTGGGGAGGTTGAAGCAGCCTGATGGGGGCTTCGGAGTCTGCGAAGGTGGGGAGGAAGATGTGCGGTAAAATACCCTGGGCCTAGCGCTCCTCTTTCTCCTGCAGGCCTGTATTGTTACTGACTGCCAACTCAGCGGCGCTTACTGCGCGATGGTCATCATTTCACTACTCGATTTGCCACTGGTTTTACCCCCGGAAGCTGAAGCCAGGCACCATGGTCTGGAGACGTTCGATAGTGGTCTCTCCGCGTACCTGTCTCGATGTCTGTGCTTTCCTACTTGAGCTCTTTGCACTAGACTGACCCCGGACCGTAGGTCAAACCTTTGAAGGTGGCATTTCCGGGAGCCCCGGGTCTGAGGCACATGGCGCTTATGCATTCTGTGCTTTGGCGTGTCTGTGCATCCTAGGCCAACCCGAGGTGACTGTGGCAAGGTACATCGACGTTTGCTTCCTCTCCTTCTTACCTAATTGCTGCTAATAGTCTTAGGTGCATGGATATCCCTTTACTACTGTCCTGGCTCTCCGCTCGACAGTATGCCCCTGAAGGAGGATTCTCAGGTAGAACCAATAAGCTGGTAGACGGATGCTACAGCCACTGGGTCGGGTCGTGCTGGCCATTGATTCAATCCGCGCTCGACGGAGCTCAGCCAGCTGAAGGGCCTAAGCAGAGCTCTGTAGGCAACCTCTACAGCCGAGAAGGCTTGACGAGATACATCCTTGGGTGTTGCCAGGCCAAGTTTGGAGGTCTTCGTGATAAGCCTGGAAAGTACGATTCATCTCAACAATCAAGGATGACATTGCCTCTGCTGACTAGAATACGTCTAGACATGTCGATTCATATCATACCTGCTACACCCTCGCGGGTCTAAGCACTACTCAGCACCACCACTATCATACAACCTGCAGTGTCTCCACCAAGGATGATTTCGCGTCGGCGTTCTCGTGGCAATACACTTCGACGATTGCCTCAGATGGCGAGCCGGGAGATGCAAACGTGTTCGACGAGACTGATAGGGTCGCCGCTCTTCATCCGCTCTACGTAATTCCCCATGCAGCTGCGGAGAGCATGCGTCTGTGGTGTGAGAGGCAACCTACATGGGCCTAAAATGCGATGGTCAGCACGGAGCTTGGAAGAATCCTTTGTGTAGTTTGACGGGGAAAGCCAGCGAGACATGGTGTCAGATAGGGGGGCGACCCTGACTTGTACAGTATAACATACGTAAGCATAAACTTGGTGTTAAGGAATCTGTGTGACCCCTGGCTTGAATGGAGCGTCAGTAGCAGGACGTGCCCTTCAGCAAACCAAGCGGGATGGCAGACAAGAATGCAACGGCAGTCGAAGATGACTGAGGTAGCACGAACTGTTCTGTTCGCTTTGATCTGGACTCGAGCTTCGTCTCCGTACCACCTGAGCCGCCTGAGAGTCTTCTGTTTTCTTTGTGCCTATAGTGCGATTGATGCCATTCTAGCTTTCCCGGGTACCTTCCAACCCCAGCCGATCCTCTACCCCTCCATTACTCATCATCTCCATTGCATGTAGGAGTCTCTTTCCTCCTTCCACTTCCCCTGGCTCTTTTACCGTTTGAGCATCAGCAAGGGGAACGACAAGGAAAACTCCAGGGGCTCGAACTTGCGGAGGCGCAGAGATCCCTCGGAGATGCAACTCAAACGGAGCAAAATATTCTTCACACGTGGGTCGCTGAATTGCAACTCCAGAAGCAGTCCGCGGTCGACTTACACCATGCACAGACAGACATGCTGCAGCCCGTCTATCCGTCATATCAAAGGAGGGGAAGAAAGGAGGGGGGGAAGAAGGAGGGTGGCCAAGGTCAGTTAGATGTGAATTCCCCGTGGTGGCGCTTGATAAGAAGGAACCTGCTCATGTTACTCTGCAAGGTTGACCTCACTCTTCTCTGACTGCCCCTTCTTTGCCCCTCGTGTCAAAGTGGCATGGATTCCCTCCCTCCTTCCCCTCCCCCCAAGCCCCGCCGCACAAAGCGTCATTGCCAACTCATCAGTGCATCCGCAATGCTTGCCTGTCAGTCAACGGCTCCACGAAGGAGGATGCGGGCTGGGCCAATCCGCGACTGCTCTGCTGACCGGCCAATCTACGGAGTAGGATCTGATCCGGAAATCATTCACGCAAAAGTTGATACATCAAAAATGGTGTGTGTTCCCTGACTCCATTTGTCGTCTTCAATCCCACTCCACTGGGCGCGGGGATTCAATCTTGTCTGAATATCAAGCTTACTCTGGATTGGCTCCGAGAGAGCGGTCAACTACACTAAGCGGGCTACGGAATTCGGATGGCTTACCGAGTCTTGGATGATCGTGATCGTCTGCTGGTATTGACCCGAGTGAGAAGATGAGGGCAAAGGGGGCCCGCTATTCAGTCCAATCAACAGTCAAATCGATTTTCTTCCAGCCAGCGATCATCCCCTCTTTCCCTCCTACTATTGTACAATGGAATCACGGATTCCTTCTGGGCGTTCTATGCCAGGATTCATCTGCGCGACATGAAACCCTTGTTCTGAGGCATCATGCTGCATTAGCCGGATTCCTCCACACCTCCTTTCTCGTGGTTTCTATTTTGCCATTTTTCTGGTTCCTTCGTCGATACCCTGCTCAACATGGCTACAACTGTGGCTTCAAGATGCGAGGCATGAGGGACTATCACTCCTACCGGGGAACGAAATGCAGGTTCTGGAAAGGAGAAGAGGTACCCTGAGCGGGAAAGCAGGGAAATATTACGGTGAAACTTAAGTTGAAGGAGGAGAAAGAGCCGCGCTTACTACTACATGGACCCCTCCAGGTATGCCCAGAAAAGCCGGTCCATATTCTGCAGCAGAATGGAAGAAGGCCGAGACGATTGATCTGCTCGGACGCTCAGATTCTCTGAACAACATGTCAATGGTAGCCGCCTAGGTTGGCGGCGAATTAAACGGTGACCGATGGGCCAGACGTCCTGGGATTTGTTTTCACTTCGGTCCACTGGTGAAAAGTCATGCCAGCACATCGACGCTTGCCATATTCTGTTCTCCGAGCAAAGCGGCGACGAGACGGACAAAGCTAGTGTGAAGTCTAGGACAATTTTCACAGGCATTGTATTCGTCTGTTCCTCGTCCCCTCGGTCAACGGGGTAGAGATTGGTCAACTTGAACCATCCGCAAGTCACTGCATCCGATCATAATCTACTCTCTTTTGATCTTCCGGGTCCTTTTTTCCCATTCTGATTTTGATGTTTTTTTCTCTGAGCAGGATTTCTGATTTTCTGCTTCTATTTTTTGCCTCCTTCATATCCATTATAGCCGTTCTTTGATGGGAAGTTTTCTGGTTCCTCTTCTGGGAAAAGGTTCTGAGATAATAATAACGATGATTAAAAGCTTTGAGGGCTGCTCGAGATGCCCCACTCCTTTCTTTCACGCGCATACCTGGGCGGTCATGAAGGATATCCCTCCGGCTCGCATTTCTTTTTCCCCTGCTGCCCTCCGTCAGTGCAGACACGCTGTGTTTGTCTCATTCCTGGGTGCTAGTTCTGATTTCTCTTACGGCTTCCTGTCTTTGGTCTGAGTTGGTGTCTCTCTTCATTTCGCTGGGCCTTACTCGACCCAAGACTCTCGCACCTGGTGACAGGCCCTCGTTGCTGGCTATTGTAAGACATAGCAAGTCACATTGGCCGTTCGATAAAGACCCCGATCATTGGGCATCAACAAACATCCTCTACATAGGCTCGTCTCGATGCCATCGGTGTGACCGCCAGGATCTTGTGCAGTATCAATCGACCTGGGGCAGCGAATTACCGAATCAATACTGGAAAACTGAGCCATACGACCTATTGGGCCTTGATAGGTTTCCGCGATGTACTATATTCTCTATCTTGCAAGTATGTAGATATTTCGTTTGCAATTCGTCGAATGGATTTCGCCCGATCCAATTGTACCCTTTGTGATTGGGTCCGAAGGGCCACCGCTTCGATTGACCCTCGCTGTGTTGCCCAGGCTGCTGCTGTGGTCCTTTTGCCTCCCTGGAGCACTACTGCTATGCACGTCATGGAGTGACAGAGGTCCGGCAGACCGTGGCAGTGAGGCCTGTGTTCTCATTCATCAGCTATGATTTGCTCTTCTCGGAAACCCAAGGGTGGGCAGGGACTCTGATTATAGCTCAGCGTTTCCATGTTGCAATAACATCCAATAACCATGTGTACAGGTCTCTGCCGACGGCGCCGCTGGCCGGAACCTCTCTACGAATCATACAGCGGCGCTACCGGGTATACGTGCATTGTCCGAGTCAACAACCGCGAGTACCAGACGGATGCGGTTTATGAATCGGACACCCTGGCTCGGGAAAATGCAGCGATGCGGGCATACCTGATTTGCCGCAACTTCTCCGTCAACGACGGCATGTACCCTGCCGGGCACGACCACGGCGGTGTCATCCAGGGCATTCCGGTCGCCATTGGCACGGGGCGGAAGGCACGTTACGGGGTGGACGACACCGACACCTCAACCAGTGAGGAAAGTCGAAGCAGTGGCGGCAGCAGCAGCCCGGAGAGCTATGGAGGGGGGCGAATCGATTGCGACCGACAATCAGTGATGGGCCTGCCTCGAGCGTTAGCATTCAGTCGGTAGGCTGCTTCTAGAGGGAGGGGGGAAAAGGCTAGACGTATCGCGCACACACTGGCTGTGCCGAAACATGGCTGGTCTTTGACCTACAAGAATGATTCGATGGGCAAGAAGAAAAGATTGACTTAGGTTTCTGATGACGATATGAATTATGACATGAACCCCGGATATCCGATAGATCGAAGTGCTTCAATTTATTTCTTCTTTTTCCGTTTTTGTTCTTGCTTTTGTTTTTGGGCTCCTTCTGAAGGGAATTTGGCTTGTTGGCAAAGGCGGGGACGTTGGATGTTATAGTTGTTTGTCGGCAGAACCACCGGATGCCAGATGGATGGAATATGTATGTACTCCGTAAGTTTTGGAGGGGGTTGCATGAGGTGATGGCCAGCGGGGTCTATTTTGGAAGGTGGCGGTGTACATTGTCCAAATGTATGCGAATAACTGATGTCTCCCGAATTGAACGTGCGCTCGATGCTAAAGCTAGTATTTACTGTACGTATTCTGTACTCTGTACATAGAAGGATGGTGTGTGTTAGCCCCATCTCCAGCTATCTGTCGGTTCGGGTTCGAGATGATTCAACCCTACAGTCAGCTCTGCAGTCCCAGCGACTAAGCCAAACTAACTAGTAACGTAAACAACGGTTAGGCGAGCCACACGGTCAGGCGAGCCATCCTATTATCCCATATAAAAGATATCTATTTAATTCTCTTATATATCCACCAATACTACTTCTAAGAAAGTCTGACTTTGTAGGTATATTATATATATATAAATACATATTCTCTACTTTTTTCAGATTTTTAGAATTTTTATTCACATAGTTAGATCAGAGAATTCTGTAATACAAATAAATTACAGGTATTGTATTATAAAAAGTTATTGAATATATATATAAGGGTTTTTGGAGAGTATGTACAGAATCTTTATACTATTTAAAACTTATATAAGATAAATCTAATTCTTCTAGACCTTGGTAGTTGACATATATTATGTTCAAAATAGTATCTCATGTATAGTATTACCAGATGGCTCGCCTGACCGTGTGGCTCGCCTAACCGTTGTTTACGTTA